ATAGGGGAGGATACGACTTCATCTAAAAGCCCAAACAGCACGAACACGATCTCAGATAATTAGAAGAACTATGTAAGCCTCTTCATGGGATATCGATTGCGTGCGTTGAATGTCTATCCGACGATTTAGCGTTACATTTACGAAGATGCAAGTTCGTCACGTGAATGGGGTATGTGCCGATGAATCGCGCTCCTGTCCAGGGCCGCCTGCATCTCAGAACCAACATGCCTTAAAGTGCATCAATCCCAGTGCTATTAAGCTTACTGACAGCCTGCCTCTGCTGGGCAACTACACGCATAGCCCACGTGGGATTACACCGCACCTCTTGCTGAGATTCCAGTGTGGTGTAGTACCGGGCGGAGAAGCTAACATACACTTGATGCCGTCCTCGTCGCTTTGCTGCCTGGTGAAATTTAGTGGCCAAATAGGAATAATGTAACGGGAATGAAGCACCATGAGAATTTCTTTTTCTTATGAGTATTTATTGAATCGAGATCTTTTCAAGTCTATCAACTTCAGGTAGATACACTTCAGAGCTTCCGATCTCCGATATGTCTTCATACTGTAACTCGTATTTACCAGACCGGGCATCCTTTCACTTCTAAGTCTCTTACGTCCTGTATCCTTAGACAGACATGCCAACTGACAGTAGTTGGGGATAGTTGGCACTTCCCAGGCCAGTGACGGGGTCCCATCCCTTTAAATGAGTCTTGTTAGCAATGAAAGCATTGGTATTTTGAATGAAAGGAAGTGCGACTTACCGTAACGGCGGAGAATCCGGCTTTAGAGATGGTAGTATCATCGCAACCACTGCTCTTACCACTAGTGATGTCATTCAGACCGTTGGCGCCGATAGGGAGGCTATACTAAAGTCCAGCATATTAGTCTATAATATCATAAGATCCGAGTCAAAACCACCTACCAGCCAGGGGTTCAGGAAACCCAGTGCAGGTTTTCCCGCATCAATACGCTGAGAGTTGACGAGCTGGACTATGCTCGCGAAGACAGGAGCCGCGCAAGAGGTCCCGCTTACGGCTCTTTCCGAGCCCAAAGTGATGATCTCAAAATAGTCAGCACCGGAGGCAACGTCAGGATAAGCACGGCCAGACGCGTTATAGTACTGGGTATTTCCGTCCGCGTTAGACGCCAACCATGAGGTGACTGTCGAGTTCTGCCACGAGGGACGATCGAAGAAGTTAGAGAATCCACCTCCAGAAAGGGGCCAGACGGTCTCTGGATTGCCGGACGTACCGCCAACCGTGGTCACCCAGGGACAGCTGGCAGGAAAGAAGGGCTCATAAGCATCCTGTCCATCAATGTTGCAACTGTCACCGACACCAGAATCGCCAGACGCGAAGATAATGGAGATACCCGCAGAACCAAGTTCGGCAAATACGTCACAGGTCGCCTGGGCAAGACTTAAGCCAAACAGGGTCTCTTCGCCACCATACGACACCGAAAGAACATTGGGTTGCGAAGCCGCATCGAGAGTTAGTAGATAATTAGCGAGGTCTTCAAAGATGGAATACGTGTCACCTCCAGTGGAGTAGTACACGTTAGGGATCTCGCTAGTGATAGCAGCCGCATATTGAGTATCCAAGTTGCCCTCGACGGTGTAATCATTAGCACCCGTCGGGCACCCGCCATCTTCAACGGAGACACATGTGAAGTTATGGTCCGAGTTACCCAAGACAGCATAGTAATCCATGAAAATGGAAAGATCACGCTGGTTAGCGTATTCTTCTTGGAAACCAGCGATTCCCATAATCCCACTGGTCAGCTTCGGGGCGTCGCCGAATCCGTATAATTGGGCGAGATCGGTAGGGACTGTCTGGGCGAGGGCACTGCGGGGCTCGTTTTTAGATTTAGGGGTGAGAGGCTTGAGGCCGAAGGAGGTTGTAGGTTGGATCACGTCGATATGACCAACAAGAGCTTGCGGGACATGGATAGACAGGGCCCGAGACGCTTTGGCACCAGTGTTCTTGTTAATGTAAGAGTTGTAATTGGTACGCAAGAGCGCCTCTGCTTGGCTAATTGTAGCATTGACCTTGACCACGTTTCCCCGGCTGTTCAAGATTGCACCGTTGGCCAAGCTGTGGTTACCGAGCCACTGGAAGAGGAGATCTTTTGACTCAGGTTTAGGAGCAACTATAGCATCGATCTGTTCCAGGGTCAAATGCTTGCCGTATTGAGCATGACCAGGAGTGGCAATCTATATCACATTAATGTTCTGTTTCATAATATCACATCAACCTCAAAGCATCTATGCATCACCGTCCTAGGATAAGTGTTCATAGATAGCCGGATCTTAAGATGACGTACGTTCAGTGCTAGCTCTTGAAACTGTGCAGTATTCTGCTTGGCGAGATTGAACCGAAGCTCGATAGTCTCGTCTTTAGTAGCCGGACCGTTCATGGCCCATTCCTTAGGAGCAGACTTGACCGTCTCGAACAGAGACATAGGCACGTCGGCCGGTAGTGCCATAGCAGCACCTGCAAGTGCCAAGATGGCAGAGGCTTGGGTAGATACTAACATGGCGTGTTTGATCTAATACTTCTAACCGGTCAGGGACGAAACAAGAGCTAGAAGCATAGGGACTACAAGCACTATTATATACTAACATCAATATTATTCTTCTACACAATGCCAAATCGCAGCCTAGCTAACATGGGACACTATTTTAGTGAAGATACTGCCAAGACCGTAAGCTCATAGCGTAAATTCGCGCTGCACAACTATCCCCAGAATGACCATCCTTAAGACAAGGGCGTGGAGAATGGAAATAGAGGAGATGGATCTTTTTCATGGTTTCCTAAGCACCTTACGAATTAGGAAATCTAACAGGCAGAAAGCGGACAAGCATTAAAACACGAAGCTTACGAGCTGAAGTGCAGTATGATATCCCTCTGCAAGGTGTCAACCGTTCCTGTTACCACATCACCGGTTAAGCTTGAACTCTCGGCTAACACTGAGAGTTCTTAACCAGCAGATGTACAATATCGTTTTTCAAACATGGTGTTTTGATGGATCTACATCTACGTGGGTCTAGTGGGGATAAGAAGAGACAAGCTTAGCTTCCCCAAATCCTAGTGTAGATACTTGATGCAGGGACTGGATCGTCATTATTCGGGATGTACGGCAACTGCCGAGTCTCCGATATTTGAAAGTCTTTGGAAAAGTCTTTGAAGTGTCACAGATCTTCAGGGACCACTGATGATTGCCAGAGGTCTGGAGTTTTCAGGCCACCAGCACCGCAGTGCTGCTGAGATGAAAGTATTCCGAGTTCATACGTTAAGGTCTTCCCATTCAGCCGTCTGCTTGCATTAACAAATCCAGCACAGTATCAGCATAGTCGGAAAACATGATCGTCGATATTGGCTGTTTTCTCTATACCATCCTGTTCATAGACGACAGTACAGAGATCTACAGGCAGACTTTCAATAAAGACTAATAACAACAATATGATTACATTGCAGAGAAGCGGTGCCCTCGGAATCTTCCACCTGTCATCCTGTATATCGTACAATAGTTTCCTAATGAGGCAAAACCGAGATCTATGAATAAGGAGAACAACACCTAATACGGCATGTTGTGAGCTTTCGTTGTGTGGGAATACCCCTTCGGGTTAGGCAATATTTATCCGTATAATCCGTTCTGTCGCCCCATCTCGTAATAGGTACCCTATGTGGTGTAGTCATCTTCCTTCTATTAATAGCAACGGCCCTTATTTGTTTACTTTATTTTGACTTAAGAGAAGTCTATAGGACTAGGTATTAGCATTGATGACATTTCCCCTATTGTACACGTCGTATATTTCTGAATCCGCCGTTGTCCTTGCGATTATTCGAAAGACAGAATCTTCATATTCATGATATAATTCGGGTTCGTGGGGGAAGTGTTGCGTGAAAGGTCTCTGCCTTGTACTTGTAAGGTGAACGAGGTATAGCGAACTTCGATATCACATGCTGACTCGAACTACTATCTCTTCAACATTTATATGCCGTATTGCGCGTTCTCGATTCGTTTTTGAGATGAGGATTGTTGAGTGGCCGAAGTTGGAACAAGAATCAAAACTGCTGGTCGCATTCCCTGTTGAGTCTCCTCTGCACTCAGACAATGTGTCGTACAGAGATCTCATACATGTGAGGTACGCGCTGCGTAAGTCTCAGTGATATATACACGTAGCACGCATGGAGCGCGTGTTTCGACGTTATTACATGCCCCCCTCCTCTCGTGAGGCTATTTAGCCCTTGCTTACCTATATAAGGCATACTGACGGAGGTCAGCGGTTCGGAATACTAACATTACGTATATATAACCTCAAGCACCCAAGAAAGGGTCCGAAAGCCTTTTGAACGATCAAGGAGCTAGTGCCCTATATATTATAGCCAATTGGGACTATCTCCAAGTCTCGTACTCGTCGCTTTGTAATAGAGCATGAATGCTTCAATTGGATTGGCGGTGGACATGGACAGCACAACGGTAGCGATGAGCGTCATGACTCGGATGACTCATCGCGACTCTTAGCATTGGTATTCAGGTATTCAGGGTTCGTGCGAGTAATGTCTAAAAACAAGATCTGCAACATTTTTCTTGTCCGACAACCCAAAACTCCAGTTCAGCCTCGGAACACACCAGGCAAATTGACGATCAAATACCCAACGCCAGCTTCGCAACGGCCATTTCATTATGCCGCTCCCACGCAGATAGGGCTGCTCAACAACGTACACACGTTCCTCGTCGAGCGCTATTTACTGTAGGTTTTGCCTAACATACCGCCCACTGCAAAGGTCCCTCTCTGAACGAGATAAAGGAGAGACGGCAGCGTTAATGAGGCCGCTAACTTATAGACCCCGCGCTAGGTATAATAGGTAGGGACTAAAGTGGAGAATCAACTAACAGCGGATGCCCTACAGATTAGCCACTCAGCAGGTAGTTTTCAGTATATTAGTCTAACTAGCGGTAAGCTTTGCATCCAGCATCAACGAAGACGATGATTAGTACTCTTGGCCGAGTGGTTATGGCGCCGCATTTAAGTACAATACAGATGTGTCTCGGCACACCCGCACTGTAAATCTGCGGTGGGGCAACCCGCGCGAGTTCGAACCTCGTAGAGTACAGCAGTTTTTTTTAGTTTTTTTCTTTCATTTTCATTCCATCATTAAAACGCCAACATCCGTGTTACTACCCCATTTTTATTTATATCTTTAATTCCCGCTGCTGTACCCAACGGATCGTTCGAATATAAGGTGTTAAAGTCTTTTATGGTTATGTAAAATTCTTCAATTCCCACCTAGCAGATAGCAAACAGAAGTCGCTGAAAAAAATAAAACGACATCTTTGTCCCTGGTGTGTGTGACAGCCATATAATTGAAACAGTTGAGGTCAGAAATGTTAAAACTTGATTTCGCCCAAAATAGAATCTCTACTTTGGAACTGGCTTAAACAAGAAAAAGATGACTCTGAATATAATCTTACAGGCAGGTTGTAGCGCTGGTATCGAGGATAGGTTGTGAGCTAAAGTCACCATCCATTCACTTCCTACAACTAGCCATCTGATGTTTCTAAAAGATGAGGGGCGGCCGTCGTGCGGATGAGTGTGGCATTGAGAGGATAACGTAAGGATGGATGAGGAGCATTCGCGAGAAAATGTGTTGCTCAATTGAAGCTGCATACCTGTGATATAGAGAAATCATGGAGCTGTTGTCAATGCATTCAATTCCTTATGAAGGACCTCACGATTCTCCAGTCAAGTCCTTGTCGGCCCCGACGGATGCACTCCGTAACCTTTCAATAAATACTTAGAAGCCATACATAAGAGTTCAGAGTTGATGTTCTAAGTTGTATGGAACTCCCGTTTTAGATAACATGGAGATGTGCACACCAGAAAGCAAATGACATCCCTTGAGAGCAGCGTTTAATAAGTAGGATCTCAAAGCAGAAAATCAGCGTCGTAAATATTAGTTTTCAATTATCCCTCTAAGTTAATTGATTATTGATCAGACAATTTGCGAGTCTGAGAGCAGGGTAAATTTGACCCCGGTGTAGAGGTCTATTGCACTTCTGTTAAGATTGGTAGATTGGAGAAAAGACCTTGGCACCACACTGCAGGAATTGAGGGGTGTTTCTCGAAGCTTAGCTACACCTCAAGCTCAACATAGAAGCCGCCTTGGAAAGGTAATGGACCACTTCAGATGAACATCATTCTACCCTGTGCAAGACCATTCATCAGCATATTCGTGATCTATGCAGTCCGTTCGAGGTGGTACTTATAACCACTCGTTGCTGAATTATACATTCAAAGACATGCAGGACGGTCTTCTCTGCGAGAAATTTTTGTACTGTTTTTTCTTTTCCTTTTTTCCCTTTTTCCTATTTTATTTTGATGTTCTGCTTCCTTCCTACACACGACCAGCTCGGCCAACTTGTAGTATTTCTCCTGTGCGTTGATCGTCGCTCCGAAGAACAGGCCAGCTCGCGCCATCCGCTTTATACAGGCTGACCTCAAGCTTGGTACCGAGGATCTTGAAATTGGATTGTTCTGTGTCGATCGCCCCGAACAGCGGAACGGAGGTCTTGTAGCGCTTCGGAGCCGGCTCGTTTGTAGGGAGATCCAGGTCGAGCGCGTTGGGCTTGAATTCGACGGTCGCTCGCGCGCTGTCGATCTTCTTCAGGAAGAAGGATGCGATGACGGTGTTGGGCGTCTGGTAGAAATCGTGTCGCACGGTGTCCAGCAACTCCTCACCATCCTCGCTGACGCCAGCGCTTCCTTGATGGCCCTTCTTCTTGGACTTGTCCTGACCTGACCCGATAAACAAGTGTCGCGGCGATGTCTTACAGCCCTCGATCTTCATGAACTGGTCGAATTCCAACACGCGGCGCTTACAGCAGCTGTAGCCCTTGCTGCCCTCGTGGAAGATTGGGGCGCCTGGGTGGTGGACGCAGTTCTCGTCGTCGGACCGCTGGTGGCCCTTCTTGTAGGTCGCGCCGCATCCTTTCCGCCTGCACGTCTTGCCGTCTGGGATCTCGAGCCCGGGCTCGTCGTCTTCGGACTCGGGAGGTGGTGGGGGAGCTGTGGCTGCGGGCTGGGGTGCGACAGGACCTCGGCTGGGAGTCGACGAAACGGCCTCGGCTAGCTTGTCGGAGAGGGACTGCGTAGTCGGGGCGACATCGGCTTGTTGTTCCTTCTTCTCGATCTTGGGAGGGAAGTCGGTGGTGCTGTGCTTCCCTTCGGTGCACGGTGGGATGGCGAGGAACTCGTCAAAGGTCAGGAATCGAGGCTTGCAACACTTCCAGCCTGTCGCATGTTTATCAATCACAGGAACATAGTAGGTAGTTGGTGGCAGTGAAGAAGATCAATTATTCACCTTTCTGTCCCTCGTGGAAGACGGGAGGACCTGGATGGTATCTGCAGACCTCATCTGGGATGGCCTCTTTTCCACATCCTTGATGAACACAGGTCCCCATGTCTGCCGATAGTTTAGCAGGAGAATGCTTGGCGCAAGGGCGGGTTTGTGATGCGCGGGGTTAGGTATGATATAAACTTCTAAAATGATCAGTAGATAAACTGATTACCCGTAGGTAAACAAACAAATGTTGAACGATAGGTGGGGAATTGGATATGATAAATGAATAAATGAATAAATAAATCTACCTGGCTAGCAGGCAGCAAATAAGATCATGACAGCGAACACCATTAAGCTTGAGAAGTTCATGGAAACCTTCGATTGAGAGGGTCGTGTCATGGTCAGATACTAACTAACCACAATATTTCCACCGCTTACCTTTTTTGGCATCTTTTTCTTCTCATATATGATGCTGCAGCATTTGCCGTGCATTTATTTGCCGGCTATGACGCAACTGCACTGCTGTTATTTCGATCTAGATCTAAGTAGGGGACTTAAGGGGGGCTAACAGAAGGGTCTAGATAAAACCCTGCGCAGTGCATTCCAGGGCTGATCTCATCTACCTTTTTAGGTATTTTTAGGTATTTTTACCTGATACAAGGTGAGTCTAATGTGCAATGCTTCTATAATCTGCAGTTATTGTGATAACGGGCACTGGACTTCAATTCCAATTTGTCACAATTTTAAAACCAACATCATAAAACACCATCCCATATCATGCGGCCTACCATCCGTCTCTTCCAAGCCTGTAGGATCACGCTCTTCACCCGTGAAAATTGCGGCTTATGCTCCAACGCCCGTTCCGTCTTGTCCGACGTCTGGGATGCCCGGCCATTTCAATACAAAGAAGTCGACATCTCCAAATCAGAAACGGGGCGTCAATGGCGCGACCTCTATGACTTTGATGTTCCTGTGGTATGTTCTCTAATGGGGCGAGAGTCAAAGGGTCCCGATATGGAATCTCTTTAGAGTATAGGTATTTTGATATCACGAAAAGTATATTGCTGGCTAATGGTAAACCTAACAGATTCATGTCAGCAAGTCGTCTGCCCCTGAGGAACAGCCGCAAACAGTCTCTGAGGCGGTACGACTCATGCACCGTTTCACTGCCGACCAGGTCAAGGCCAAGATGGACGAGGTTGAGAAAGCTTCATAGGTCAGAGCCTTCACAGTCTGCTTTAGACGGGTATCACGAGACATTGCACTGTAATGACAACTACTTTCGGATCAGGATGAGACTTTAATACGCCTACTAATACCGTCCCACGGCTTTCGGCGCCGCCTGTCCGTGAGCCACGGCGAGGGAACGCTCTAGGCTAGCTTGCAGTAACGTGGTATCAAGAGCCGCGTTGACCATATGAAAGCCCTTGTCGGCATACTTCCTAGCCTGCTCCCCACTGCTCGCAAAGAAACCAGCCTTCTTACCGGCCTTGATCGTAGCCGCGAGGATGCGATCGATGGCCTGTTCCAGCTCGGGCTTCATGACGCCGTCGAGGATCGGATGGCCGATGTTGTTCCCCAAGTCAAAGGGGCCGATGAACAGGACGTCAATGCCCGGCACCGCCGCGATCTCCTCCACGGCATCTAACGCCTCTTGCGTTTCGATTTGCACTATGGTCAGCAGCGACTCGTTCGCGTGCTGTAGGTATTCCGTCATAGTCGGGATTGGATGGAATCGCTCCATCGCGAATGGCGAGCCGAGACCGCGCTGTCCTTGTGGTGGGAATTTGGCCGCCGCCACGATTTTGGCTGCCTCCTCGGCAGAGCGGAGGAGTGGTATTAAGATCTAGGAATCTCCATGTCAAAAATCATGAACAACATTCCACCTCCTCGCATTCAAGTTTCTTTCAGCCCACACTCACCCCATGTGCTCCTGAGTCCAGCGCCCCTGTGAACTCGTTAGTTGCGGACCTCAGATGATCAGAGATGGCTGATCGACGCGTGACAGTACTGACGTTTGATCATCCAACCTTGCATATCAGGAAGCCGGACTATTGGACTGACGCCACAGCTAGCAATAGCCGGGACAGCCTCGTGCATAGCGGCATCATCGATGTTTCCGTGCTCGCAATCCACAAGTACCCAGTCGACGCCTGGCGTTCGTGCGAGGATTCTCGATACATTCTGGCCCGGCAGCGTTTGCCATGCGCCCATACTAGCCCGCTCACCCTTCTCGAGCGCGTTTTTGAACGTGCACCCTTGCAACATCTTTGCGGTGCCTCCTCTTTTTCGGGTGTAAGTTCGTATGTGTGTAGCTGAATTCAACGGAATCGGCGAAGTGAAAGAAATATGACTTTGAGAATGGAGAAGACGCAGCGAAGAATAATAAAGATATGCGGATGGTCGAGCTAGTGTTGTGATGAGCTGATACCGATACCACCCCATTGATAAAGGTCCACAAGCTATTCGCATCCTTTATGAGCACTCGAGGTGATGAATTGTTTAGGATGCGGTTGGGCCAATATCTAGCTCCAACCCCGCAGCTTGCGGGGTAACTATCGGGACGTTAATTGTGTATGTAGATCTTTGAATTGAGCTGGACTACTTTTTCGGGGTAGCTCTGGACAGTACTGCTTCGAAAGCTCAGGGTAACTGTCTTGATAGATGAAAAGGTCCTTGCTGTCAGCATAGAATCGCTATTCGGGTACTACGGATTCATCCTATAAGGCGTGAAATAACCATTCCAGTGGATGAGGTCGCTGACTTATAAGCCA